TTGCATTCGCCCTCAGGTGAAATGCACCAGCCCTTGCATCTACGATGATCATCAAACACTGTTTAACCCTGGGGTGCAGCTTCCTGTTCTGGAGAAAGCCCCCTTATAAGGAGCATCTGGTAATATGTGCGAGACGTAATGTTGACAGCTACAAATTCCAGGTAAACACGTAAGAGGTTAGCCTGAATTTGTGACTCACGGTCCATTACATCCATGTCAAACCAATTTGGCGTTGTGTAATCGCATGAGGAACGCCATTCGTTTACTTAGAGCCCTCCATTAGTCGTTATGGCAACAGTCCGACCTCTCCTCCAGCCGGCTGGGTAATGCTCTGAACACTGCAATGACAGCGACCTGTACCTACATCACCTGAAGTCTGTGGCTGTCCAGGTGTCGCCGAGAAGGGTGGAGGTCACCGAGAACGCAAAACACCTGTGCTGAAAGGCAATGACATGACATCTTCAGACGTTGTCTCAACAGCTAAAACAAGGTCCGTTTTTCATCACTAAAATGTCACCGGCAAGTGTGATAAACAGCTTCAAGTGACAGGTAGGCGTCATCTGTAGCTGGTGACACTAATGTGCGACCAGCTACCACGAAAGGAGACCTGAGGAGGACATGCATTCCAATTTTACCAACATTGGCTTTATCCCCTTCAATTATTCCCGTCGAATTCACGTTTTTCATGTTTTCCCATCAACATGTCATTTTCAGATTAGGTTACCTCAAATTTGACCACCGCCCCCCCCCCCCCCTACACAGGTTGTTTCCAGTTTGGCCCACCCAATCCAAGTTTGCTCCACCCTATCTATGAAATGTGGTTACACCCACGAGAGGAGATGTTAGTCGAACAAAATACGTCGTCAATGGAGGTATACATCTGGCATCACACCTCACAAACACTTTAGTAGCAACAAAATCCGTCAGTGCGGCAGGTGAACGCAACCAGGCAGAGAAAAACCACGTTGAAATGCAAAAGTTCCGGCTTTAAAATATGCCAGAGCATACTGTCATGCTGGCATATAGCAGCGTACTCCGAGGTCACTGCATGCACGGATCCAGACGTTTTATCACATATATTCAGCTATTTAAGTTTATAAAATAGTTCACAACAATGTTCGAAATATATAGATTAAAAAAATATTAATCAAACGTTTTGGTCTCTTAGAGCCATAACTTGGTAATCATTCAAGATATTAACTTTGTACGCACGCTTGCAGCAGGAGTTCGCAAATTTCACACATATATATATATATATATATATATATATATATATATACGTATATACAGTGATAAATATGCATATATATGTACGCATACGTCTTGGTTTATAAACATATGTGCTAAATTTCCAAGATGTTCAGCGGCATTCTAAATTCAATGCTCGAGCCTGGAGGTGAAGTCAGATTAACGTGCAAACTGCAGTCAACGAGAAAGGCCTCTTCTGAAGACATGTGAAAAAGTGATGCGTAAAAACGTTCCGAAAACTTTGCGTTGATATCACCGCCCATCTTTTTGCGCAAGTCTGACGCAAAAACGCCAGGGGGTGGTAAACTTTTCAACCTTAGTGAATGGCCGATTAGTGGCCTAGGGACCGATTTTCGTCATCGCGTGTTCTCAGGCTGTGCGTAGCCGCCTGGCGCCGAGCTGTGTTGGCGGCGTATTAGTGCTCGTCCACCCTCATTCTGCTGACGGGCTGGCCGGCACATATCCTTCCTTGACCCCACATGGCGGTCGAGGTCTGGCCGGCGCCTCTGGTAGGCTGGACGCCGGTCTTTGTGCCGTTCCGCCGCCCGCCGGAGAACACGCCAGAATTGTGGAGCACCGGTAAGTCCGTGTTATTACAGTATATGTTAATCCTGGATTTCGTAGTTCGACGTTTTGACTAGGCACGTGATGTTGATGGCCTTGATCCCGCATTCAGGATTTCAGAATTCCCGTGATTCTCTCCAGTTATCCACGCCCTCCCCCCCCCCCCCCTCTAAGGATTTTTGAGGATACCTCTCTGGTATGTTTGTAATTGCGCCTACATTTTCAGTAGCCTATGGATGAACTATTCCCGTGTTTTGACAAGAGAAAAGTATTCCTGGCTTCCCTGGTTTTGGAGCAGTGGTGGTTTTTTAGGAACACTGCACGGCGATCTACGGCCGGCGCGGGCGGCAGGCCGCAACAACCGATACCGCGGAACACTCGCGATGGGTCGGCACTGTTACATTAACAAGGTTAAACATCATCAACATGCCCTCAAAACGCATGCAAACATACGCCATTGTACTCAGAATTAAGCAAGGAACAAGTCTCTTCAAGTTTGAGTCTCCATAAGGTCTCGTTGATATGATGTGAAGCTAAAAGTGCGATTTTCTAAAAAAATTCGATCTTTGACCTGCCATGATGGGGTCAATTATTGAATGATGAAAAGATGAAAAACATGAATGCTGATACCAAGTGCGAGATCCTGTTGGGGTCAATCCACTGATGTTTTCCGCTAGGCTATATCTTCCGTATTTTGGAAACGCCTGGGGGTGGGGTTGCATCACCCCACCCCCTCCCCCTCCACCAGACGCGTTACGAAAAGCGGCGACTTAAGGAGAGGGTTAAAGACAGGTCAGACGATGTGTATCTTTAGGAGACAGGCGTAATTTCTTATTTTTGGTGGTCCGTTCGAAACTTTGTATGCTACGCTTTAATGATGTCATTCGTAGACCAAAAACATGGCAAACCGAAATCCGATATTGACCGATTCGGTTTTCATGTGGTCATCGATGAAATTTTCGTCATTTTTTAGAACTAAATTTGAAATATTTTAGATGTTGAGGCATTTTCATTAAAATTGGATGAAAAAGTGATCAATCGGGTGTAACATTTCAACTCAACCAGCAAGTATTATGACTTATGCACATGCTTCAAGTACCACACTGATGGATCACAATATCCAGCGAAGCAAAGCAGCATGATGTAGTACATCCCCAAACATAACTTGGAGCTCAGCAGACGTCATGTGAATAACAATCTCAGCTTGACTGTACCATCACTGATGGACATGGCACTGTATGAGAGATAAATAAGTGCATAAGACGCTACAAAGTTCAATCAAACTTCCGATTTAAACCAGTGGTTATTGCTGAGCATTCTCACATACGAATAAGAGATGTGAGCAGGCTTTGGCATTTGGAAATGCATTCAACATCCTGAATTAAAATAAACAACACAATATCCTCCAAGTTTCTCAGGCTACGGAAAGCTCAGCATGACGGCTAAAACACACCAACCAGCCCTTAAAACACGTTAAGCTTCCATTATGCTAAGCCTGTCTCGACGTTTTAGCAGAATGTTGTCATATAGTCACAAGGCCAAGCATCGTGCAGAGTGTTTCAGTGGGACACTTTCGAAGTAGGTTGTACCACGTGTGGGTAAACCCCTACAACAACACAGAGTCATCCGTTGAAGCCCTTCCCATCCCCAAACCAGAACGCTGAAAAGAAAAACAGCATTCCAGGTACACATCCTCTACTGACACCGAATAGTCCAACCCCATAAATGCACAATTTCACACCCAACTTAACCTTTTAACCGAGAGCACCTCGTACGCACCTGTTGGTCACCACTTACTGTTGAGCTCACATACAGCACATCGTGTGGCGAATATCAATTTCTTTCCTTCTTTTCCGTTACTTTATTTTTGTTTTTTGCTAACAAGCTCACGAAATATAGCCAAGCAAGTATTAGTTGTCACGTCTGTTACCATATCACATCAATAATTCCTGTTTCCATTGATAAAGTATGCACCGCTTGGGAAATGCTGCTAGCATGTTGTAACTGGTGCGATTATGGCGCATTTATTGCAAGGACAGCTACCGGCACGGTTTAGGTATTATATATGGCCTTGCCACAAGGGAATTTTTCACGGTTTATCCTGTTGTTAAAAGATCCGTGAAGCACGCCAAATATCGCGGACAGATATCTACAAAGCCAAGAGAAATAGGTATGTCGGGTGCCTGGTGACAAGTCAAAGCCTCGAACATTTTGTTTTCTCCCTCCTGTATCTGTCAGCTTTCTTCACTCTTCCACTCACTTCACTCTCCAGTACACTCAATGCACTGGAGTTGGTCATGACAACGCCGTGCTGTTCTGTGTCATTAACGAATGCTGTAGAAGCAGCATTCGTCTCCTTAGGGTGCATGTGCTATACAGGTCATGATTCGTGGAATTAAATTAAATTCATTTAACACGAGGACCCGATACTACATCTTCTGAGTCGTCAGGTCTGATCATTGGGCACTCTAGTCCTGGGCATCTTACTGCGCAGAAGCGTCTGCTGTTTTTGTGTACGGATCAAGCAGTTAAATACCTGAGAGAAATATCTCTCATTACTTGAATATATGTAAAACTGCCCAGAAAATCATTTTCAGTGGGTGTTTGCCAAGTAGCCAATCGCTTTGCCTTTCCTTGGCCATGATCGTGAGAATCAGGACCCAGACAAATTTTGTTCCGCACATAATACCTGATATTTTGTGAGATCCTGGCCAATGTGTTTTGGCATTTCGGAAACAGCTATTAAAAGCAACGCTAAAGCACATTAAATGGTTTCAAAAATCGGTGAGTTTTTGGACCCAGAACTAAGCGGTAATTTTTTGCACAACATGCCCGGTGCGGTTCAAGACAACACGTCGTGCGCATCCGTATCGGTTCGGACACAATTTTCCAATTGGTCACATCTGACAAGAGAACGGCTGTCATTTTCAGTGTGCCGATGCAAAACAAGGTCAAAGCTTATCTATTCGTCGACGTTTCAATCAGTTCGATAATCATTTTCCAGGCAAAACAAATCAACTTTGAACTCGCAGTCAAACGTCGTATGTAAAGGTCCGTCCCTCTTCACATCTCCGTGAAATCCAAGCCTGACACTTTTGAAGTGAACTGCATGACCGGCTTCTGGTTGGTGAGACCCGTGATCCGTGATCTAGTGATCTGATCCGTTAGCAGCTCGAGGGAACACTCACCAGATACTGTTCGTCCATGCAGTCGATGTGTGGGCCGATGATGGTGAAGTACTTCATCCCTTGAGGCGGTGACGCGTATGGAATATCTATCGTTACCTGAAACAAATCGATGCGTGGTCAAGTAAAGGATATTGCGGTTCGGCACGTAGGTGCGCGTGCTAACTCACTATGCATCACCCAGTTATGTTCCATCATATTGGCAATGGTGACATGCCTCAGCGAAATGAGATGTCGTTTCCATCGGCTGGGCAAACTTCCAAGAAAAGAAAACTTGATGACAATCATCTGCGCGCAGAGAAGACCTCCACAACAGCAATGTCACGCTTAACGCGCCCTTTGTTCGCTCAGTTATACGCACCCCTCGCCCTCCCGCGATGTTTTATTCTAAATCCCTGTATTCAATGTGCATAAATGCTCCAAGAAGCATTTACAAAGCACAGCACATATATCCCATGTATATGTACGCAACATACCATACTTACATGCATGCATGCCAACACTTCTGATAAAATTATCCTCGGGGATTGTGCCACAGGGGCATGAATTGCTGCACCATCCGCGCAGCAACACTCCCAGCATGGTGGGTCGACCGTCGTTTGGGGCCCTGACACTGCTAAATTTTGACAGCCGTATTTGAGCAATATGCATAAAGCTGTAACTGAAATACGGAGTAGATACGGGGTGATTGTGTCCACTCTTCCAGGCGATCTTCTCACGTCACCGGAAAGTAAGTTAGCTTGACGAAAGCGGGGTTCATGCAGGAGGTTTTGTCGATCTGATTGATGCGAATATGAAGAAGGAGGGAACAGCCGCAGTACCTGTAGATAAACCATTTATACGGTGAAAGGCGGACGAGCGTGGCTGGACTAGTGCCCCCCTCCCCCCCCCCCCCCCTGTGCAATGCTAAACAATCGTTTGAAAATTGTCTATGACAGAGCATTACATTTCAACACATTTTTGCATCGGTTTCGCCTCTTCCTGATCACCCGAAACGATGAAACATTTCCTTACAAGAAGACCGGCCCGCCTTCCGAACTTCCGGGACATGGCATCGATCGAGCGCCTCCCGCCGAGTGTCCACCCGTCCCTTCCACGACCCGGCGCGGTGTCACCTCACGGCCTGCTTGGTACGCATAGCGGGCCGCCGCGGCCCGTCGGGTAAACAGCCGTTCTCATCTGATGGCGGCGGGGGGCGCCCGGCGGCGTGGCGAGTCTTCGCCGCACTGCGCCGCGTTCGCCGCGTGTCAGCACCCCGTCACACACGCCTTTCCGGCCAGCTGCCGGCCGCCGCGTGCCGTTGCGACGTGATAATGTGACGTGAAGGAAATGATGGTGATTAAATGGACGATGTGATGGAAGGAGAGGATGATGGAATGCCGTGATGTGAAGGCATGCCGCCACACCAGAATTCGATCGTAGACAGTAAACTGGCTTGATAAATTCCCTCGCACGCTGGGGAATGCTGGCATTTAGCTTAGACTGGTAACGATTTGCGCAATTAGCTCTTGTTTTTAGTCAGTAAGAAGTGATATATTACACGTGCATATGTAATAATGTTGGCAAACATAGCGAGCAAGTGAGTGTCATTTCAAAATAGAGAAAGAAGTATCATCACAAGGACGAACATAACTGATGACTTTTTCCATGTACCTAGTCATCACACATCGCTAGAGTTCAAAAACACGTATCTGAGCCTGAGCCCGAGTCCTGATGTCTTGAGTCTGAGTCCAAGTTTTGACTCCATCATTGTTATATCATATGAATCCGGGTCTAAGTTCTAATGGACAGCTTTTGCGACACATGACATTCAGGCTCATTCTGAGTCCTTCATAGAATCCTGGTCTGGGTCCTAAAGTCGTTACCTCCCATCAATCTGTTTTTCAATGGTCGCGCAACCCAAAATGGTTTTAATACAACGTGCCAGTGGTAGAGGTTGTCCAAGATTATTCTAACAGGGTTATTTTATGCCTATTGTCGGCGACAAATTCCTTAGCAGCCCATTCTTTGTTTATAGCATTAGGTGAAGTCATCACTCTCTCCCATAAAATACCAAAATTTTCTCATAATTCACCAAGCGTCATTGTTTCAAACAGCGCACCTAACATTTTATCCTAGTTTATTTAGCGTTTAAAATTTTGTCATCAACTTCTTCGCTTTTTATCGGAGATAAACAACAAAGTTTTTCTTAAGCCGGCACGCCTAAAAATGCAAGAAACGCAACGTGGCTCGGATAGAGCGAAGCTGAGGCGTGGCCTGACATCACAGCAAGGCCCCGCCAACCTATCTGCATGTCAGCGGGCACTGGACCTGACCCCGACTCCGTGCGAGCTTTGGAGCTACTGCTTATGGACCAGTTGACGTTCATGGGCCTTAAAATGGCGTCTGTCGTCAGAAACCATGCTCAGGGATGCACAACAACTTTGTTTACACCCCTGTGTGTGCAAAGGAGTGTCATTCGTTCCGTGTGAAAGATCCCTTAAGCCGGTTAGCAAACACATTTGGCTCTGACCGGGTCGCCTGTTTGCTGGCGATCAGTTCGGGCTTTGATCGCGTGCTCGCTGGTACTTGTTTGCTTGGCGACTCGCATGTCTCACAGGCTTTCCCCAGGGACGCGGCCAGAAGTCACATTTCACTATTGTTTGTTTCTTTGATAATAAAATAGCAAAAGCTCTGTCGAGACTGATGCCATTTTCCGAAGCAGCCCGGCGAATCATACGTGGTTATGTTAAGCAGGCCGCCTGAAATGCTGGGAGGGTTTCTCAGCACGCCAGTAATCGCTGCCTGACGCGTGGCACTACCTTCTCAGGACATCCCACATGCACTGACTGCGTCAGCGGCATGTCATGAAATCAATACCGTCGCCATCGGTTCCATCCGTTGGATTATTTATGTGCCACTTTCAGGCCAAGGACTATCGCTGCATCAATAACGAAACGACTGAGGCATGATGTTATCACTACCCCGTCAATGTCTCAGTTATTTGTCAGGAGACTCTTGCGCGAAATGGCTTGACTGCACCACACAAATCGTCTGTCTACAATCCTACGCTGATATTTTATTCAGTGGATTGAGAAAAAAACACAAACACCCCAGGCCACGCATAGCTAGCAGTAAATGCCATCTCTATGCTGACGTAAAACAAATTGCCAACCATTTGGTTTTAGTGGCATTGTGCCATGATCTCACTAGAGACACGACAAGGGGGTTCGGGCTCCTCTGGTATAGTAGATGTGAGAAGTCAAGGTTAAGCATTTTTAGGCGTAAATATTTTCACACATACACACATACACACACACACACACACACACACACACACACACACACACACACACACACACACACACACACACACACACACACACACACACACACACACACACACACACACACACACACACACACACACACGCACACGCACACACACACACACACACACACACACACATTGCGTTCTTCGGTGGTGGTGACATATTTTTGTGTTGTTCAGCAGGCACTGATTCAGCACTCAAAACGAGACATTACCTTAAAAGCCGAAGCTATCCGGGGCGACCGACAAGAGCCTGCAGAGAGGAAGTGCCTAGCCGGCAGAACATGCGCGTTGTTTACACACTCGCTAACAAGGAGACCATCAACAAAAACAATGCAAATATATTCCTTAAATGAAAATGCCCTGGTCGAGTTGACCCTGACTGGGGAACAAGGGGCCTGTTGTTAACGGTTTGGTCTCCCAGATCAAATATCCTGTCCCACTTAGTATCAGTTTATCCTCCTCCCCCTCCGCTTAACGTTGACGACTCTTTGGTGAAGTCCAAGTCTAGCTAAGCCCCTATTTTTAGCATTGTGTGTGCCTGCACTTCTTATTCATTCTGTGAACGCGACGCACGGAGCATTGGAGCCAAGCGAGACGCTGCAGACCTACAAAGCAGCGCCACGCTCAGAGCTGATTCAAAGTTTCCAGAGGTCTGTCCCAATAAGCGAAAGTTATGTAACGTTGCCCAACACGATGCGACTCGAGCAAGCACTGGTCGGCTGGGTGCTGGTTCGTAACCAGGTGTCCTTCAGACGAATCCGTGCCTCGACAGTCAGCAATGTATGTCACGTAACTAAATGTTAGCCAGTGCCCCGACCTAAAATTCGCTTATGTACTAACCTTAAACGTGATAGAGGAGGGGCTGGGTTCCTTAGCAGAGACGGTTTCAAGACAGAAACATGAGACAGTACTGTAAACCTTATTCCTCGTAGACCAACAAGGCGAGTGTAGAGATAGGTGAATTAATATTTCGGGCACATGCCTTTATCGAAATGAATGGCGGTAGTACTGCTGACATACTATTGGTACTCGTTTCGATAAAGTCACCTAGCCAAACTATCAACGCATCCATTTCTCCTCTCTCATAGTTAATCCATGAGGAATGAGGCACTTCGACCTTATCTATATGCATAATTTGCCTCGCAAATGTACTTAACAACTCACGACAGAAAATATCGATACAATATGAAAATAAGTGCCTTGTTCATGAACACGTGTTGCACGGCACAGCAAAAAGATGCCACCTAGATCACCTTGTTGTGATGTAGAAAGGGGTTCGTATAAGGTTGGGTTATTTTATCAGAAGGTGACATGTACAATTTTAGCACCGCCAAAATCGCGTGCTTCACAGCGATTATTATTGGTGGCGTTGACAATCGCGTTCCGTATTCACGCTGAGCAGATTTTTTACCTATAGCTCTTCTTTCCCTCTCTGGTATGCCGAAGTGACGAGGGGTATCAGTAAAGTCCGATTACGTAGCTCGTAAGCGATGTCGCCGAGCAGCGCTATTTGCCCGAACATAAGACAGCGGAACAGACCCATTTGCTGATCGGGAAATCATCGCGCCCGTGGTCCGGAGCCAGACCGATTCATCGACCGTGGTCCGCGCAACGTGATCACCTGCTGGTCTCGTAATGGCCACCGCCGTGGTCCGAGCCAGACCTGTATCGACCCTGAGGCGACGGAACGTGAGCAGAACACAGATCCGCCGCACGTCGGACCTTTCGGCCGAAGCAAAGCGTGCCCCTGACGGATCTGAGGGAGACGGGTCTACGGGACGGGTCT